AACCAGCCTCAGGTTGTTTTAGTTAGTTTAAGCTAGTCTGGACTAGTAGTCGGGGCAGCTAGTAGACTGCTAGTTGGGACAGTGGTGGCCTAATGGTTAGAGAGTCGGATTTGTAACTCAAAGGTTGCAGGTTCGAGTCTCGGTACTGGCAGGGATTGTAGGTGGGGGGAGTGAATGACCAGCGCTCTCTTCCACCCTCAATACCACGACTGAGGTTAGCTTGATTAAGAAGCCAGACCATCTGAAAAGTGCCCAAAACTCCTCTTAGATCAGCCACCAGGCAAGCCTGGGAGGCCAACTAAGTCTATCAGACCAATTTAGGCTGGTTTAGTCATTGTTTTTAGCAAGGATGACAGGGAAATACAACTTTCCGTCCTCCCATCTCACTCTTTCCTTCTCTCACCTTCACAGTGGCTGGGTCAAGGGCTGTGGGTGTCAGAGTGAATTAATAGGGAATGTGGAGGAGAGTGATGCTGAGGTGAGCTCTGTAATGACGCTGCCTTATTGCTTTCCATGAACACTGCGGCTTCATGCATATTTATGAGTGGAAATATCAGTTTAACAACAGCCCTGTCTGCACACACCTTATTCCAGGACTAATGCTTGTTTCTGTGCACCGCCAGGATCCTGACAATGAGCTGTATACCCTTTATATTAGCTCTAAACGAAAGCTCAGAGAAATGGCAATGGCATTCTGACCCAGCCGCTGCAAGGCAGAAATGAAAAACCTCAACATAACAGCACCTGTATGTATAAATCTTTCCCTCAGTGGTTTTTGATGATGTCAGCAATATATGCGAGTGGCATCGCAGCTTGACCACCAGTTGAGTAAATGTGGAGTAATTGGTTGAACAGATTGATTTGTGATGCTACACTTGTATGTGTTAAATATTAATAGCCATCCATTCCCGTGGAACAGGCTTGGAATTTAAAGGGCAGCTCTCACATGGTAATTTACTTGATTAATAATGGCTTCTAATACAGCTCCATCATCTTGTGAAGAGTCACCTATCTATCTCAACTTAGAAATTCATGGTGGGATATGTATGGCAGTAGTTGAGTTTAGAAGTCTGACAAAGCCAAACTCTTGACAATTGGCAGTCACTTTTGCAGATCAGTGTGACCAAGAACTGGCCACTGGTACAGTGTTTTTTTTTTGTTGTTTTTTTTTAAGCGGCAGAAAAGACCAGATTATACAGTTGTGTTTGAGGATTTGTCGTTTATTTACTTTGTGGTTCTTAAACCCTGTTGTTTATGCATCATTTAACAGTGGCAGTGATGTACATCACCAAATAATAATTAGGCTTGTCACTACACCTAATTGTTATAAATTGTGCCAAACCTTATAGATTCATAATAATCTATATCACTGCATAACAACTTAATAACGCCAACTTACAACTACCTTAAGTAATTCCAATTTTATCCACATACAATACCCTCACATAATCACGTTATACTGTATAAAAAATCTCAATTGCTTGATTTATATTGTCATGACATGTAAACTATACTATCGCCCAGCTTTAAACTGCATGAAACTTTGTTAAGCTGCTTTGTGTATTGTGCAAAGGTTTGCAGATAAATTGACTTGACTTAAATGCTTCAAAATACATTTTGGAATAGCTATATTTCTAAGCTTCAAACCCTGCTTCAAACCCTGCAAATTTCGACTAGGCAAATCGAGCAACTAGTTCTTGTGAACTGCTCATTGTTACTATGAAGACCTTGTCATTAACATTTAAGAAACAAGTTTGATTTGTTAACATTAGTTACTGCATTTGATATCATAAACCAGCAATTTTTTTATATTTTTAAAAGGTTAATATTAACTTACTAACAAAATGTTAACAATATTACCATTTTTTCCAATGTTATTTTGGACCATTTTGACTTTAATTGTATGGACAAAAACAGTTTTGAAAATACAATCTTTTTGTTTTGCAGAAGAAAGTAAGTCTGAATGATGAAAAAATTATGACATAATTTTCATTTTGGAGTGAACTATCCTTTTAATGTTCATTTAAACAACTTTAACATTTAAAAATGTTAAAATATGTAAAAAAAATTAACATGAGCTTTTTAACACTTATGATTAATAAATGCTGTAAATGTATTGTTCATTGTTAATGCATTACTGTAGGTATCATGAACTAACAAATGTTCAATTCAATTCAAGTTTATTTGTATAGCGCTTTTCACAATACAAATCGTTGCAGAGCAACTTTACAGCAAATTAAGTTTCTACAATATTTAGTGGTAGCTTATCAGTGGTGACTGTCAGTTAATGTACATATGGCAGAAATGTACGGAAAAATCAATTAAAGACGTAATCAAACAGACGATGAACACTATTAACAGCAATTATTATATGATGCAATCAAACTTATAGCAAAATGTGGTAGTTCTGTAAGTTGTTTCAGGGTTGGCATCATCTGAGGTCCTCTGAGGGGTTGGCATCATCTCATCTCAGGTGTTCTGGATTCAGACTGAAGCTTGTGTAAATCCTAGTTACCACGGGATGTCAATCAGAGAAACAAATAAAGACATAATTAGCATAGATGCTGTTCCAACAAAGCAAAATTGATT